GGGGGGGCGGGAGGAGGGGGTGATGTGAGAAGGGTGTCTGTCCAAAATTCTATAGAAATTAATTTAGAATTCCTTACTCGTATCGGGGTCACTGATGACGAACCGAAGTCAGATTGGAAAAAATCAAAATTGCGGACCCAATATGGTGGACAAAAATCAAAGTCGATTGGATTCACTTAAAACCTTTCAATTGGAAGAAATGGCAGGTCCATATTGAATCTACCATTTATCACGGTAAAGTTAAAATTGAACGTACGTACGTGTTGTATGAGTTACCCCCAGACGACATACTGGAGAATGTTACTCATACGCCATGTACTTACACATGCAAGTTTCAATAGGCTAGGGATTCTTGTTGATTTTTCATATTTTTTTTTTGCGGATGGTGTCATTATATCTTGCATACAAAACATATTGCCGAACATACTAGTAACTTTGTATGGAATAAAATCAGCGGTACTTTTTAGAAGCTTCAATCTAGAAAATTGTCGCTGTGCAACTCGTTTAGTTTATCAAATTTTTGTGCAAAATTAAAAACTTTGGATATATGTACATGGCTTTTCTTGGACCGCGGTCGACCGTATCATTTGGCTCCGGGTGAACAACAGGTACACTTGGTACCAGGAATGCCTTTATGTTTTTGAAAAACTATGTATGTATGTGTGTATGTAATGTAGAAAAATGTTTTTTTTTTGTTAGTGAAGATACTTTGAAACGGAATTTTTCCGCAGTAATATACAGTTTTTTTGCCCGAATTACTTCATGTTGAACCTCTTTATTGATTAAAGTTGGCTTTTTCTTGTAAACGGTGAATCAAAACGGTAATATCTGCAAATATTTCAAACACTGCAGTGACATTGGCCTTCAAAGACAATGCTTTTTCTGTTTCGCTCGAAATTTACCAAATATTTTTGACTTCCACCTCATTACAATTCAGTGCATTTAATTAGTTTGCTTACTGAGTCTCCAATCAAAATGTTAAACGAGGCGCTACTGGAACTGACCACAAATATCTAGCTGCATACCTAGTAGCTGTGTATATATATGAACAACTGTATGTACCCTGTCGGGAATTTCGTAGTCGACTACTAAATAAAATAGCCAATTTCGGCCCAATTATTACGGCTAACTTTTAATTTATTTCAAAGTCATACAGCGTTCAACCGAAGAAATATATGTGTGTGAAATTTGTTAATTTGTATTAATTAGCGCACTACAAGTCAACTTATAAATAACCAGTTTGTAGTTAGCTTAAAACAAACTAATTTTTTTTTGCGCGACATCGTTATGTAAACATAGTCAGTTGAAAGCAAAGTCTAGTAGTCGAGTCGTCGTCATACGTAGTTTAAAAATAGTGAACTTATAGTGCATTTGTAGTTAGTTGAGTTCCCTACAGGGTATATAGATATATATCTACATATGTATGTACGTATATCACCTTAGTTGTAAACGACAGAAATAAGACCAAAGTGTGCATTTGTAATTGTGGAATTTCAGAAGCAACCGTACACGTTTAAGCTAAACTGTATAAAGCATAAAACGGTATGAAGTTCGCATGCGTACAGGAATTAAAATTAGTAATTTTACCGCTAAATTTTATATTGACTACATTTTACCATTGTACTATAAATATCAAACCGATTTGGTTATTGGTATCAATCACTCGCTTGCCTTTGTTTAAGCAAAATACACACAGCGAAGAAACCACAACATGTTCAAATGCGTAAGTATTTTGAGCCACAAGTAATCGAATAAATATATATGTAATTTAAAAGAATTTGTATAATACGAGTAACTTGTATCCCTTTTTTAGGCTATTGTACTCTTTGCTCTCATCGCTTGCGCTGTTGCTAAACCCGGTATACTAGCTGCTGCTCCATTGGCTTATGCCGCACCCGCCGCTGTTTTTGCTGCTCCTGCGCCTGTAGTGACCGCTACAAGCAGTCAAGTGATCGCGAGAAATTATAATGGCATTGCTGCTGCTCCAGTTGTTGCTGCTGCTGCGCCAGTAGCGGCTCCAGTTGTCGCTCGTTATGCCGCTGCTGCGCCTTTGGCTGTTCCAGCTCTTACCCACTATGCAGCAGCTCCTTTCGCGGCTCACTACGCCGCGCTACAGTTGCTGTTCTGAGAGAAATGAACTGAACACATAATACTATACTTAGGTTATGAAATAAAAATTAGATTAAAAGGAATTGCGTTTACACATATGAGTTGGATTTTCTTTTTATTATCCTTCCAAATCCGAAATAGTTTTATTCGAAACACCATCATTTTAAGACTGTATTGGCAGTTATTGCTAAGAAGTAGTGAAGAACTTCGTCTATCTAGGATCTAGAACACAAGCCAGGAATGCAGTTCCCTCAACTTTAGTGTAGTACTTATTGAAACACTGTCCCTAATAAATAGATATACAGATATTTTTATCGAAAACTCAGTTCACAGTTAATAACAGCGCCATCACACTGTGTGGACTCCAGTAAGAGTCAGACGGTAAAGGGGTTTTCATTGAGCAATATAACCAGGTCTGGGCGACGCCGACTGCATAGTACCCTCGGGGTAGTGTCGCGTGTTTGTATATACAAAGTTGAATGCGAAAACTAAGCAAAATTAGGTTATAGACTCACACATGTGAATAGCTTCTAAAACAGCCAAGCGGCTATTTGGGCACTCTCTTCTAATTCTGTTAGAAATCAACTAATGCATGACTCCAATTCTGATCAATACGGAAACAAGGCAGCTGACGAACTAGTGAGGTGCGGCTCCGCACTGAATGTGTCCCGTACAGCGGACTTTGGTGCTTCACTCTAGGAGATAAAATGCAGAATTGCCAAAATGTATTAGTGCAATATACAACATCACAGCAGAGGCGATAAATATTCTCCCGCGCAATAACTTCGTAAACGATATTTATGGATGATGGCAGCTTTCCGCTGCTGATTTAAGTCACAGCCTTGGGTACGGAAAATAAATTCTAGTGTCTCCTTCGAACTATTGGTTTCCGCTCTGTCATTCGTTTTTAGTAGGGAGTGCGGTGCCCTGCTGGAAGGTTCTTTGGTAGATTCTATAGAAAAGCCCAGAGCTTCCTCTACCAATTCTGTTTGGGTATACGAATTAATTTCGTATAAATTCCTAAGCCCATTGAACAGCTAATGTTGAAAAGTTTCCTACGCTCGTTACTCAGTTTTCAGATCTGGACTTCCCACCACGGACGATATTGGGCCCTGGGATTATGAAGAAAGAAGCCGTAAACCCTAATCCTATAACCGCTTAGAATTTGTTGCTTTTGGCTCCTCCAAGGTTGTTAAATTAGTAGAATAAATTTCGGCCGCTGTGGTGTAGTGGTAAGCAGTGCGCGCTTCCACTCCGCAACGCCTGGGTTCAAGCCCTGGTC